CCTTTTAGGATTTTTTTCTTGGTGGCATTATTTTATGCTTGGCTAATATAAAATGTTGTCTTCTACTTGACATGTCAAATGTTGGTGTTAAACTCCAACCTAAGGATATTCCTGTAAATACAAAAAGAAAAGACGATTAAAAGTAAATGCATGGGGTGTTCCTTTACATTTGCACTCTGACACGTAAATCAGTAAAGATTAGGTTAGAAAAAAAGTAAAAAAAATAAGAAAGAGAGGAAAAGATCAATTAGATAAACCTAGCTTCATGGTGCATAAGTATTCATATTTATAGGTAAGTTGAAGGGGATAAAAAGGGGACAATTACGATAGGGTCAAACTAAGGTGGCACTGAAGATGTCAAATTGACTTGACATGTTAGGTCGGCACAAATGACCAAGATACCCCTGATTGTCTGCTGAAGATTGAGAGAGGAAAAAAGATCACTATGCCCTTTTTACCATTATATGCCTCTAATACTTCAAAAGATCATCTCGTCTGTCACCAACATCCTCAAAATCTCATAGACCAATCAAATTAATCCATTTCATAAGAACAAATGAGATCTTCCATCACTACCATCACAACAACCACCAAAGCCTTAAAAACATGATAAAAATGTTAATCATCAATAAGCAATTTAACATGATAAAAGTGTTAATAACAACATGAATTATACACATGATAAGTAGAAAATTTTAGGAAAAAACAGACACAAAATAAGTAAGCAAATATTCTTACAATCTATGTAAGAATAAAAAGAAACAAAGTATGGACAATTCCAAATATCTACTCAAGAAAGGCATAAAAGAAAAATGTTTTATTTTTTTACTTTCCTTACATTAAGAGATGTAGATATAATTGTTATACCTACACTAAAAAAAATTGCTTTATACTGATGCTGAAAAAATCATTAGTGAAACTTAAAAATCCATCGGTATAGCACAACAATCCTTATACTGATGGTTAAAATATTTATTCCAATGCATGTATAACCGTTAGCATATCTCTTGTTGGTGTGGACCTATACTAATGATTTTTAAGTTGTCAAAATATGTAACATATATGTACTGACGATTTTAGTTCATCACTATATGTATAACTGTTGGTATAGCAACTATTATGTTTTTCGCATTATACCTTTTACCAATGGTTATTCCTGTTAGTATAGACTTGTATGTTTTAATTTTTTCAACTTATACTGACATGTCTCCATCAGTATATCTTTTATCAACGGTCAATGCTCATCAATATAGCTTATGTGTTTTAATTTTTATCGACGGTCTATGATGTTTGTCAATATAGCATGAAATATTTCAATAGTAAAAAGCGTCGATATAAATTTTAAGGTGTTGATAAAAACTTTTTTTTTGAATTATATTTTCAATTATTAAAATTAATTTATTTATAATCATAATATGATATGGTTTCATATAAAGTAAAAATACATAAAAAAGTAAAATATTTAATAACATTTGACATAAAACAACAATCAAATTGTTTTATAATCCACAAATTTAAAATAAGTCAAGAATTATTGTCATTGTACTAAATCTAAAAAAAAGAACATTAATATCTATGATTGAATCCCTACAAACATGGTGCTCGAAATAAATAAACAACTCTCTAAAGTAAGATGATGCCATCCCAAGTTGGCCCAAATACTTGTTTAATTAGTAAAACCTAATAAAGAATTTCATGTCAGATTAAGCTTTTACCAGTCAATTAACATAGGAAATGTTTCAAAGGTCAAGTCAAGCATACCAAAAACTATAAACAAATGAATTGCTGACAAGATTTTATCCACTGTTATAAGCTCCCCTTATTTCACCACCCCAAACAACTACTAAAGTTGTTGAATTCTTTATAATTGTTTAAAGGTCTCTAAAGGGCTGCTACCCACTATCTAGATAAAATAGATCCAGGATTTTGTTCATAAGTTGATTATTATTACCCACATACAAGGAAAATATGTAATTTAATAACTGAATTTTAGGAAATATTTTTTAAATAATGCAACTTACTATTTTGTTATACCTGTACCAAGGTTATAAATGTGTTGAGTCACTACTTGCAGAGATTTGGGTGTTTTTTGTACAAATTCTTCACAAAACATTCAATCATCAAAGCTAGCACCATTAGAAGAATAAAAAAAAATAGGCATGCTTGATAATACAAAATTGAAATGTAAAAAATAAAAAAGACCTTTGAGAAATAACTAGAGTCTTGATGCTTCAACTTTGATTTAGCTTTAAAACAAAATGAGTGCCGATAGATTTAAGTTTGTAGAGTTAGTGAGAGGTGGAAAGAGTTGGTAAGAGATGGAAATTATGCTATAAGTACCGATGAGTAGAGAGAGTTGGTGGGTGGTAGAAATTAAGTATGTAGAGTCAGTGGGAGGTGGAGGGAAAAAAATGATTTAAACATTTTAAGGATTATTCAAGGTATTTTTGGTTAGAAATGCCTTGAATAACCCTATTCAATTTTTCATAAAGGATTATTTAAGGCATTTCTGGTCAGAAATGCCTTGAATATTTCCTTACATTGAATAATCCCCTTTAGTTTTTTATGAGGAGATTTTTTAAGGTATTTTTGGCTAAAAATGTCATGAATAATTCCTTACAAAAAATTGAATGGAGGTTATTAAAGGTATTTTTTTTTTATCAAAAACGCTTTCAATAATCTCTAAAAAAATGGGAGGAGATTATATAAGTACTACTTACTTATTATATAAGTATTATTTTGTACAAGTGTTTTTGGGATTGACATAATAAAATATTTTAAAAGATCTTATTAGCCATAAATTCCAATGTTAAAAGTTCTCAAATATCAATAAAATAATTAATGTACTTATATTTTTCAAATTTTTATACTTTCAACAACTGAACATACAATTATAGAAGCATGCACATATAATTATAATTTCATTTACATATCATTAACATACATATATACTTGTGTCTGTTAGTAAAATGTACATATATTTTTTTTCAATGTACATATACTTATGAGATATTTATATTTGTTATAGTTTTATGTATATGGCTGCATGCTACTTTGTGCATCAACCATAAAAAATTCTTGGGTAGAGTACTTTTCAATGTTGCATCAATGTTTATTATGAATTCAAAAATGGTTAATATCATGAATGACCTCTAAATTATAGTAAAATATTTAATGTGGTACTTGAATTTTAAAAATCTCTAATAGGTATATGAATTATAAATTTATTAACTAATGTGATACTTAAAAGATTATTTATCCACCATGTGTCATCATTTAAAACTAACCACATAAAGGTGAAGTACCACATTAGTTAACAAATTCATAATTCAAATACTACATTAGAGATTTTTAAAGTTTAGGTATCACATTAAATATTTCATTATAGTTTAGGGCCATTCATAACATTAACCCATTCCAATATTTAAGGTCTCAACATATCAATAATATATAATTAATTTTTTTTATTTCTTTAAAATACATTGCACGTACTGACAGGAATCCAAAATCAATTGAGTTGTTTTCATATGCCTTTCACTCTTTAATTACCAAAAAATTCCCATAATTAGCTAGAAGTAAGCTATACAATGAGAGAAAAAAAAAAAAAGAAAACTTTACATATAATTGGAAACAAGCTATAATTCTTATGAACTTTAGATATAGCTAGAAGCAAGCTATAATTCTTATGATTTGGCATCAGAATCGTTAAACTTTACAATGAGAAAATAAAAACTTTATTCTTACTATATATGAATCACACACATAGTGTCCCTTTTGCATAAAACTCCATGTTTGTCACAAGAAAATACAAGCCTATTACATTAGAATAATGTAATCAAGACAACTTGGAATAAAGTCACTATGAAGTTTTTTTTTCCTTGAAGTTGAATAGTAAATCTCAATTTCCTAGCAGAATTGGCGAGGTGCAACTCACAACATAAGAAAAAGAAATTAGGAGAAGGAAACCTCTTCCGGTAGTAGAAGTGACACTCAAATTTTTTTTTGCATATGGAAAAAAGAAAGGAAATGGGGCTGCAACCAATTAAATTTTACTGCAATGAATAGGAACTAAGAAACTTAAAAGCAGAAAACATGCTTAGGAATTTGAATACCATCAGAAAGTGTTTACCATTTTTCAAATAATTTCATTCTTTAAAAGATAGATTGATGAAACAATCGTATATTCTGAAACTTACTTAGCATGTTATTGATGTCATCCATCTTAAAAAAAAATTGCAGAACTTTTGGCAGCAAGTCAAGAAGAAAGAATACCTTTCATCTCTAGCTTCACCTTAAAAAATGTAAAGCTTCTCGCATATTGCTGCAAATAAAATCAAGGATGTGGCTTAAAAACCCATTTATAATCAATAGTTTTAAGAGCACAAATCTAAAGAAGTGAAACTCATTTATAACTCATTGCTAGCAATTATTTTGACACAAAAACGAAGAAACATCGTGAAGACCTTTCAAAACACCATTTTGACAAAAAATTACATCATTTATTAATCCATTTGAGATACTAAGATAATTAAAGCAGTAACCACTACAAGAATGATAGCTTTTTAAGTAACGTTTCTCAATAAATGTCATTACATTTTATTTTTTTATAAAGTTATTGTCGTTTTTATGGTAAAAGCTATTAAATATATAATAATAATATTTATAATAAAAAATACCACGATTTAGTAACAGTTAAGGGCGTTTGTTTATAAAAATGTCATTAATCATTAAAATAAGTGATGTTTTAGTATAAAAACATATCAAATGAAATTATCAAAATTAATTACATTGAATTTTTTTTTTTTTGAAAAAGAGGAACCGTTTTGACAATTTTAGCTGCGTTTATAAAAATAAATGCTACTACTAATATATTTAGTGGTGTTTATCTTTGTATATGCCACTAATGCTCACATTTAGTGGCGTTTATTAATACAAACGCCACTGAATTTTCGTAAAATTATTAGGATATCAGTCCAGCCGCGCGTTTTCTCATCCCCCCCCCCCTTTTTCCCTATCCCTGGATTGTTTTCATTTTCATTTCCATTTCCATTTCATTTATATTTCCTTTTCAATTTTGTTAAATTCTCTTTCATTTCTATGGATTCAAGGAGGTCTAGAGGCTATTGAAGAAGAGGTAATCTTTATATTTCTCACTTTAGTTTCGCTTGATTTGTAATTTATGAATACTTCACATCACCAAGCTTGATCCGTCAAGAAAAACCGGCACTTTTTCAAAGGCCTTGGGGCTTTGGGGCTCAAAATCGAAATTAAAAAAAAAATCTATCCATTTTTGTCTCTTCAACAGAAAGCAATCGCACTCATGCTCTCTCTCTTCGCCTCTCTTCAGCTTCGATCTTTTCTTCTCACACTTGGAACGAGATCGCATTCTTTTTCAGAGGACAGTCTTATTCTTCGCTTCTTGATCTCAAGGTTAGGGTTTTTTACGGTAGTTTCGTAAAAGATCTTGCTTTGAATTGGTTTCAATGGTTGATTATATAAACTGTATTAATTTAAAGGTTTGGACTTTATTACTTGCTATCATTTTCTTGAGTAGATAAAAATGAACACTTTTTTTATCTAAAAAAAAATGAAAACTTGAGGCTATTTATTATAAAATGAGATTAGATGGTTGGCTAATTTTCTGGGATTTGAGGTTTTATTACTTGTTTTTCCAAGGAATTACCATGTAAGAATATGTAGAAATTTGATATTAACCAATGCTTGAATGTCTGGATTTTGTTTTTCAGCAACTTGTCTCAGAGAAAAGATTTGATTGTGGGAAAGGAAGCATGCCGCATTGGTTCACTTTCGGTGGCTTCACAGGATCATACCATGCGCTTAGATGTTTACTAAGAAACCTGAGCAAGAAAGAGACATATGTGAATGTGTAAGTTTGCCATATAAAGCCTAACTTTGTCTTTTTTGTTTTGTTTTGTTTTTAAATGGCCGACTTCCATTAGATGCATATCTCATTGTTGTTTATGCTATGTTATTAGTTGAATAGTTGAAAACTTTGGATGCATTCTAGAGCCTAATTCTATCTTTGACATTGTTTAAGATCATGATGGAACAGAATTTTAGCTGGATTAATTGCGGGGTTGTCTATCACTGCTTGCTCTGTTTGGACCAATAATACTCTATTTGACTCTTCAAATCCTGAAAAAACTTTTTTGGGTGTTTCACTCAATGGAATTGTGATTTCTTATGCACGTACTTGCTGGCAATGATGCATGGAAGCTTCGTGCTATGTTCTGCTTGTTAGACTTACAGTCATTACTTTCTGTTGGCTCCATAGTATTTCTTTTGTCCTTTTCATTGAAAGAGCAATCATCTTCAAGTGTATATGTGAGTGCCCATGTAGTTAATGAATGTGAGATTCTGGCCTGGAAAAATAAAAGGCGGAAGAATATCTACCTCATATGGATATTAAAGCTACTGTATTCTCAGCATTTTAATTTATCAGATAGTATGATACATGGTAAGTTAGACTTGTTATTTTTCTTCAAGGCAACCCATGAGTTTTATGTTCTTGTAGTTATGCCAGATCCATTATGTCTTAGGAAAAAGAGTATTTAATCCACACAGAGATTGGATGAACTTGGAGTGCATCATTCATCAATTTTTTTAAAAAACCAAGCAGCTTGGTTATCCTTACCTAGAACTATGCCCCTTTTTTAAATGTTTGGAAACTGTGTGATTATTCACCTGAGGCATAGTAGTAAACTTCATGATGCTTGATATTTCTCTCGTGCTGTTGAAATCTTTCAATGAGCTGTGCAATTGGCAACATACTCTGTTGGTGTTTCGGTTGACCATTGTGGTTTTGCTATATTAGTTTTTGAAGATGCTAATGATATTCATAGGTAATCTTAATGCTGATATTGGTTTAAGGTAGAAACACATTCTATTTAGGCTTAACCTTTACAAATTATTTAATTTTATTCGATTTCTTATACTTGTAAACTGATAATAAGATGTGGATAATTTCCTTCAGATACAGAATTTGTGTTTGTTTGTCACTTCATGTAGAGATCAAGAGTATGACATATCAATTAGTGTTGTGAAACATACAGCTCAACTGAACTCAATCAAACCTTAAACCAAACTAGTTGGGTTGGTGTAATAGCATGTAACTTTGTTTTATCTTTCAATATCTGTGCTTCAACTTGATATAATGCTTTACTGCTAGAAAGCATTTATCATGGCCCTACCTTGATTTCCAAAGTCTTGAATATTCTTGCATTATGATGTATATATGATATATATTATCTTTCTGAAAATTATTGACAGGCTATTTAAAACAGCCTTGTCCTTTGTTGGAAAGGATTACTTATGTCATATCTTGTGGATGAAGTCTCTACATGTTATACTGATAATAAAATTTCTTGTATCATCAAAGACTTGCTGGATTCTTCCACCAGCATGGATGGTACTAAAGCACTAGAAATGAATGATAGAATTGCTGGATCAAGTGCTATACATTAAGAAATGAATGATAGAATTGCTAGACTTCAATTTGAAAATAAGCTAATAAGCAGCTTTTTCTTTTACCCAAAATTTTGAAGGTGGAAAGAGAGGGCTGACCATTTAATAAAAATCTATGGAATGTGTGAGATCAATTTTTTCGTTTTCTGTTCCAATATCTTAGATTCTTCTGAGAAAATAAAAAGATATGATTGTAATAGATTGCATAAAGAGAGTGTGTAATTCATTACCACTAAACCTATTAAGTGAAATTTTTATTAAATGTCTCAATGATTTGGATATAAGTCTTTTAACTTTAAAATTTTGTCACATCCTAATTTTGGATTTAACTCTTTCTATCTTACTCAATTACTGTCTGTATGTATGGTGTGGAAAGCATAAGAGATGGTATGAAATCTGCCTTGAGTGGTTAATGATTATCAGTGGTTTACTTTAAATTATGAAAACTGATACTTTTGTCTTCCCCATTCCCCTTTTCTTCAGTCCTGAGTTTGTAAATTGTTGTTGTATTCTAATTACATTTCATTTTGAAATAGAGTTTTTTTGGATGGTGAGAATTTAAGGTGGAGTCTAATCAAGGAATCTGATTACCTTGTTAATGGGGAGTTTCATGTTGACAAAGGTGCATCTCCTAAAATGCCGAATTGCCTCATGTAAGGTTTTTTTTTTTTTAAATGTAAGTTTTATTAGATCAACTAGTTGAACATTCATTAGAAATAACATCACGGGAGGGGATTCAGCATTCCTCTACCCAATAACATCACATGGTGCATATTTTGCAAGTCTGTGTGCTGCTCGTATGAACGGCTTTGCACTGGTGGAATTCATAACTACATCAACAGCTTGAATAACTGAAACTTCTGATAACTTGCACTGTATCTGTTGGCTAGAGTAGCCCAGGTACATGCATGCATTTTTAAATAGTAAATTTGCACTGCTATTTGAAATCGTAGAAACCAATTTTCTTATTTACAGTCTAATGTTTTGCTTTACTCTTCAGTGTGCTTATAATTATGCAAAGTCAAAAAATAAGTTTCACTTATGGGGAAGCCATTGAAGGCATGGTAATTCTTTTCTCTTTGCTTTAGCATGTGCCTTGGTAATACAAAACTCTTATTGATTTTTGTGGCTAAATGTTTACTGCAGATTTTTGGACTCCTTTTTTTTTTTCTCTGTACATCAATTAATGATAGTAAAACATTCATAATGCCAGACATTACTTAGTTTGGTCAGTAAAAGGTAGGTAGGAGTATAAAGAAATATCTGAGCCAAACCACTTAGGATATAATAGGTAGGACTATAAATGTAATCATAGGCTCTTCATTATCCTAACATTACCTTGTTAGCATATCTTTTCAAGAAAATTGAGTAGAACTTTTAATTCTTGGTTACATGAATGACTAGAGTAACCTTTTCGTTTCCTTTTTTTATTAGTACACCTTCATTGCAATCTTAGCTATATTTGTTTCCTTCTCTCTTCAGATTTGCCTTTTATTCCCTTCTAACTCTTAAACTTTCATCTCTGGTCCATAATATCCATACCCATTCTTTCTTTTAATCACAAATTATTATGGGGTTTTTACTGATGGCAGATCATGATACCTTTTTCTTACTCTTACATCTTAATTTTCTTTTTCATTTTTTAATAACATTAGATTTGACTTTTGAGACTTAGTCTCAGATCTAAGGTTAGAGATTTAAAATCTAAAACTAAGACTAGAGATTGTCGAATATGAGATTTCTCACCTTTAGGTGAATTTTGTAATTATTTATTCAAGAATAGTGAATTTATAATTTATTTTATAAGTCATATCTGCAGTTGATTATATAATTGTTGTTGCAAAATGTAATTTTTAGTAACCAATTTCAACATAACACTTTTATGCTAAAAAACATGTACCCACTGCAAAAAAAAATTGTTATTGTGGCATCATCACTGCTCAACAATCCATACTTTGTTTAGTTGTCACTTGTCACTACTCTTGTCTATGATTGGTTAAAGATAATATTTAATTTCTTTTCTAAGAAGAAAAAAGAAAAATTTAATTCAAATTCAATTTGAAATGGAAGTTGCCAAAAAAAAAAATCCACTGATAATTAATCATGAGAACAAGAATCTTGTTTGATTTCCATTAACTTGAATTGGTAATTGTTGGTAATTTTTAACCTAAAAAAAAAAACCTGTAATCATATTGCAACTACTTTCAATATTTTGTCGATAAAACGCTAACATGAATGGCATTTATTGTTTTATATTATTTTTTTTATACATGAGATTGTCAATAATAAAATTTGACTACTAAAATAAATAATTGAACATTTTATCAATAAATCACATAACTTAACTGAGTAATAATTTAACAGTTTATCGATAGAGATTATAGCTGCTTAATAATCATATCTGCAATTGACGTGTGGAATAGAAAACCCAATAAATCGAACCAAAAAACTGAATAATTTTCACTTAGTTCATGAACTGTTCACTTGGTATTCATTGAAGTTGTCCACATTAATAACTTGGGTTAATTTTTAACAGGTGATGACCACCTTTATGACCCCTACTCCTACAGCCACATTCTTGGCATTTCATCCCCAATATAATAATATTATTACCATTGGCATGGAAGATTCCCTGATTCAAATTTATAATGTCAGAGTTCGTGAAGTGAAGCATATCTTTTAGCTTTAATTAGTAATAGAAACTATTTTGGTTTATATATGGTCAATTAGGACAACTTTGTTGAAGTAGGAGAATGCTAATTTCTTGCATTTTATCATGCCAACTATATTCTTAGAACTTATTACCAAATTCAAAGGCAACAGGACTTGCCTTTTCCCCTTACACATTTAAAATTTTTTATGTACTCTTTAAAAGTAAAATAAGGCATGTAGTTCAATTTTTTGGATTAAAAATAATCTTTTTCATTTTAAGAGAATTGACTTATCTTATATTAAGATGATGATTAACCTTTTTTGTAATTTCATCTTTTTTTTATATATATATAAATCAAACATAAGATAGGATGATTATCATTCTATCATATCTATCATTTTATATATCAAATATGACATAAAATTTTTAAGGGATCAAACTACTTTTAAGGTCAAAGAAAAATTAAAAATGAAAAATCCCAATTATGCTTTATATACATGCATGCATGCATATATACATATATATATATATATATATAGACACTTTATATTGCTTTGGAAAACAAGGAGGATGTGAATTCTACCGGAATTTTGCTTTCAACTTTTGCTATAGTCAAAATTCTCCTTTAGCAATCTATATTCCCTTCGATCATAAACGATACACAAGGAAAAACAATATGAATCAAATTTCCAGTGTTGGGATATGCTCAAGACTAAAAGTTTTGAAGAAAAATGAGATGCCAGAGTAGGTTTCTACTGTCACGTTTAACATAAAAATTTCGTCTTAGTCAAAAGAAAGGTTAATAGCACTTGTAGTCTCTAAATTTTGACACAAATTTTATTTTGATTTCTAAGTTTTTTAAAATTTTAATTAGCTCCTCAATTGTTCAAAGTTATCTTATTGTGATCTATCTATGGAAGTGTTTAAATTGATGGTAAATACCAGTTGATATAAGACTATGATGTCAGTTTGTATTTAGTGACAATAAGAGATCAAAATAGAATTTTCTCAAAATTTAAAAATTAAAGATGAAAGTATCTCAAAATTTTATATATCTCATACATATCTTATGAAAATATTAATTATTAAATAATATTTTTATATTTTTTTGTTGTAATATAATTTATTAGTTAGATTTTTTTGTTTTAAATAAAAAATAAATGTTCAAAAGTTAAAATTAAGTTAAAATTTTCAAATTCACTTTTTAAAAAATTCAATATATTTTAAAATAAAAATTATTTTCTATTAAAAATTTATTTTTCTAAAATACTAAATATCTTCTATTTTTCCTTTTTAAATATATTTTATAAAATATCTTTTATAAAAAATAAAAATGTCTTAAATTATATTTTTTATTTTATATAAATATAAAGTTTTTAACAAAAATTAGATTCAAATTGGACTTCTCGGATATAAAATAAATTTTTGAATAGATTAATAAATCTATTTTTAAAAATGGTATAACAAATTTTACATAATATTTTCACATGATATAGAGTTCTTATTAATTTCTTAAACTGATAGAAAAATTTTTAATTGACTTTTTAAAACGATATGCAATTTTTAAAAATTATTTTTAAATTTTCATCTTAATTTTAGTTTTTTAAAAAATATTTTCTACTAAAAATGTTATTTTATTAATAAAATCACGTCATAATAAAAATTAAAAAATATTTATAATTATAATATTTTATAAAATATATTTGGAATATACAAAAGTCAAATTTTTCTTAAATTATTTTATTTTTTCCTTTTTTACTTTTTATAAAATATATTTAAAAAAGGGAACTAAAAAATATTTAATATTTTAAAAAATATATATTTTGGGATAGAAAATAATATTTTTATTGTGATTTATGAGTAAAATAATATTTTTAATAGAAATATATATTTTTTGTTTTTAAAATGATATTAAATCTTTAAAAATTTTGAATTTTTAACTTAATTTTAATTTTTAAAAATTTATTTTCTAAAAATATAATGAGTAAATTATATTACAACAAAAAATATAAAATATAATTTAAATTTAATATTTCATAACATATATATGAAATATATAAAATTTTGATATAGTTTTATTTTTTGTTCCTAAATTTTGAAAAAAATTTATTTTGATCCTTACTCTATCAAATAAAATATTAACTCACGTTAATTGACATTTGTTATCAATTTATATGATTTTATAGATAAAAAAAAATTAAAATAAGATAATTTTAAGTAATTAAATATCCAATTAAAACCTTTAAAAATTAAAAATCAAAATAAAATAAAAACATTAGGCTAAATAAAATCAAAATAAATTAAAAATCAAAACTTTTAAAAACATTAGGCTAAATAAAATAAAAATCCAAAAACCTACTTTTGATAACAAAGATTAAGAGGAAGAGAAGACCTTGAAAAGTTAGCTTGTTGAAGGAAGAGTGATGATCAGATGGAGCGTACCACCCATCAACCTAATTGGAGGATATCTGGGATAAACGGAAATAAGCCTTTTCTTGAAGCTTTTCCTTCTCTAATGTTTATTATTATTTTTAGACCTTCACTTTAGAGGATTAAGATGATGAAGGCAAGGGAAAAAATGAGGGTTGGGAGATCAAAATAGTAAAAATAATTTTTTTAATAAATTAAAAACCTTCCATTTCTTTCTTGGTAAATACTTTTTCTTAATATAATAATGAATAAAAATTTATAATACTTTTTTTTAACTCCCAAAAAAATAACCTTTACTGACGCCAAAGATTCCCACATATTTATTTGGCCGTTAAGGAAAAACCCGCGTGCACTCGCGCGTAATTATGTAATTGCTCCGTTTTCCGACCTGTTTTTGTTTTTGGCGCCTCCATCACTATTCCTTTCACAAACTGTAACTGCCCTATTAAAATCTCCCAAAAACCCCAATACCCCCTTCGTTTTCCAAAATTCTTTCAGAAAAAAAAAATCTCTTTTTACAAAAGAATAATAATAACAACGAATCTCAAAACTCAAAAAGTCTCAGTTTTTTCTTTTTTTTTTTTGGCTTATGCTTCTTTTCTTTATATGATAAACGCCAGGCCCTGGAAGGATCCGGATCTCCTACTGGAACCGACGCTCGATTTGCTTCTGTAGCTTGGGGTTCCCGCTTTGGAAGCCGAAACTGAATTGGCTGTCGTATGAGTGGATGCAGCATATGCAGATGGCGTGGTTCCGGCATATGATCAGCGGTTGCTTCAAGAGCACAGAGCTGCCGCCTAAACAGGGGATCAAAGTCGAAGAAAACAGTGGCGGCCAAGACGTTTTTGACGCTGACGCCATGAACTCCAAGGTTTCGCCTGAACATCTCGTTATCATGGTCAACGGCCTCATGGGGAGGTATCTTCCATCTCATAAGAATTTCATATGAAATTAAATTTTTAAATTCAATAAGAATTCAATTAAACTTATACTAGAAAATTTTGTAATTTGAAAGGTAAGATAATTCTTTTTTTTTTTTTTTAAGGAATGTAGTGACAATTATTTAATAATATTAAAGCTAACTTTACCAGTACATATCTTCGTATACACGTAACACAAATTTTGTCCAAAGCGTAGTTTAGCAATCAAAAGCTGTTTTTACACAATATTAATGTTAAACATGATCTTTCCGCGTAAAAGTCTGCTTTTCAAACTCAAAAGCTCCGTGTTTAAGTGAAAAAATTTTATTGAAATAAAAAATTATTATATTATTCGTTATTTTTAATATTTATTATGTTATGTATTATTTTTTATATTTCAATTTAAAGAAATATCAAATACTTAAAACTTTTAATTATGCTTTTTCATCATATTTTATGAAGACACATTTTTTAACCGCATTAATAATGTTAAATTAGCCCTAAAGTCGTTTCTGTTTGTATCATAGCTAATTCAACTTTTTGTTAGTTTCTGCTTAATATAACTGTTAAAGATAAAGAGAAATTATAGTTTTTGGCTATATCATTTAAACTTATAGGGAGTAACGTGTAATTACATCAAGCTAAAAAAAAGGGCTGAAGTAACTTGTAATTACCTCAAACCATAAGCATGGTTTCAAATTTCTTGGGGCAAAAGCGTAATTCTACAACGTTCTTGTTTTAAATGTAGTTCTCCAAGTCTTTTCAGCGGGCGTTTGGGAACCTAAATATGGAGTTGGACTTAAAATTTTCGAATTTCACATCCTTTGATTTTTTAAAGTTGATGAATTTGAAACCCTTTGTGTGGATAAATCTACTACTCTAAAATTCAATATTCTAAACTAAACCATCTTAGATTTGAGAAGAGATAGTTCTGAAAGGAAATTTGTAATCTTAGATTGGAACCTCTTACAATTCCATGCGGATTTGGCCCTAATATAAAGATATAGTTCTGAAAATATGTATTGGATTTTAAAATTCAAAAAGTTGATTCTGAAATGATTAAAGATCTCAATGGAGGCAGCTGCCTCAATTTGCATAAAACGTAGCCTGAATTTTTTACCTCAATTTTTGAGTAAAGCCTGTTGGAATCTGCATTATGCAACTATCTCGTATTTGTGATGTTGTATGGTTTCTGTCTATTGATACTTCTGCTGTTTTAATTTTACCAAGGAGGCTTTTTTTAGCAACAAAAACTGAAACGATATCTATAACCATATATAAGTTTAGGTGCTCCTAAACACCCTTTTGCTTCCTTATGGCATTTGAGTTCAAATATGTTCCACATATAGTGGGATACTCAGGAGATGTCATTTATAAAAGGGATACACCATTAACACACTCTGGGACACGTTAGATGAAATAAAATTGAATTTTGTTTTTTGTTATAATTGTCCATTTAGGGGAGATACATAAGGATAGAAATCCATGATGTATACATCTAAAACAAGCACGGAAGGTTAAATATATTGTCATTAGACATTTTCCACGCCTTTGATAGAGAAACAGAGTGGGGGAGAATAAGACAGAGAAAGATCAAAGCACCCAACTGACCTGTAGAAGCACCTTGATTGATGATGTGGAATTGGTTGTATTGCTCCATTCATGATATTCATGGTCGCTTTGTAATTGTTAAAGATGTGCTAGATTGCTAGTGCTTAGGTGAAAGAGGTTGAACGCAAATTGAAAAATGAAGAAGCGAAAGACTCTGGTATCTTTTTCCGTACCAGTTTCTTGATTTTTTTACCCATTTGACATTAAAACAATTAGAAGAAAAAACTATTTTATACGGGGACATATTTATACTATGGAGATTGGATTTTTCTTTTGTTAAAGCCTTGGATTTTGGATTTTTCTTTGTTTTTCCTCAGTATGTAAGAATTGAGCTTCAAACTAATTTATGTACTTGATAATCAATAATCTCTTTTTTTAGGAAAATCATTTATATCAAATGTGCTTCTGTATAACTGTTTTTGGCCATAGATGCTCTTTGCAAATATGTTCATCAAATCTAATTATTTTTTGTTCTGAAAACTTTTTAGGGCTTTTTATTTATATGTATCTCTAGGATAAATTTTGGATTATGTTTATTTGTATAAATATATATATTTGTGTGTTTTATTAACATATCCTTGTCGTATCATATTGTTTTCTAAAAGTTGAATGCACATTTGTATCTTATGTCACATCTGTCCATTTAACCTGGAAGATCAACATCCAAAAGTAGGGGTAGAAAGACTTTTATTTAAGAATAATTATTCAGTGCATTGTTTTGTCAAAAATTTTTTTACCCTTCTCATTTCATTATACGAAAGGGATAATATTTAAAAAATGTTAAAATTTTGGGTTTGAGTGGGTGCCTGACAAGAATTTTGTGAAGTTTTTGAACTCTACTAGCATTGTGTTGGATAGTGGTTCTTTGCTTAATCATACCCGAACAGTCAACTTCTCTTTGCTTGGTTTAACTGGCTAAGATTTGTTATTGTCCAAGTTCATCTCTTTTGTCCCTCTAGATCCAATCTCTTTATGTGAATAAATTATATGTTCTTTTACTTGTTATTTTGTGCTAGCTTGTGGGAGTCACTAAATTGTTTTTGCTTCAATGCAATTTACACATTCTTCTCCCAAAAAAAGATAATAAAATAATCAAAATAATTTTATCCTTGTGTATAGTGCTGCTGATTGGAGATTTGCTGCAGAACAGTTTGTGAAGAAGCTACCTGACAAATTAATAATGCACCGTGAGTTTTCTTTCTCACATTTATTTTGCCTCTTCTCCTTTCTCTTCTGCTAATGTGCATGTTGAGTTATTGATAATCTAGCGGGTGCTGATCAAATATCCAAAACTTAGCTGTGTCCTTAATTTGTATTAGAATTTTCCCCTTCAGTTTAAAGCTCATTTTATGGTTGATTGATAGTTAAAGGGAGTGCTGTACTTTATTTTGATTTTATACTGCGAGATGAAACTTCAATGTTTGGAACTATTAATTAATTTAGAGTCCTTTTTTAAAAGTAAGCATTAGTAAGTTCTCATTTTACTGAATGCTATAAGGTGTCTGCATGTCCTGGAATGATTTATTTGTGTTAATGTGTTTTCTGTTATGCTGTATACAAATATAATGTAGCTGACTGTCCTTTTTGCTGCCTTATTGAATACATCCTCATAATATATTTTATTTTGAATTTCATGGTGGTTTTGCCTCTTCTTCTAAAGATCTACCTATGTTCTTATTAATGCTTTTGAGCACTGATTCCTGATTTCTTCTATGAATTGTTTAGCATCCTCCTACTTTACGCCTTGCTTGACGTGTGAATTCCTTGATATAACTAGTTTAAGTCACATTTTCTACAAAACATCTTTTGTCTTGTTTGGGAAGTGGTCATAAATAAATCGTTATTTACCAATTCTTCAAAACAGGGATGAGTTGCATGGTGCTTGCTGCCAATTACCACATGGAAATGAGTCAAAGGGTGAGTTTTTGACCTGAGACAATTGAAAATTTAAAAGTCTTGTGATGATGGATGAAGTTCCTAAGGGTGACAATCTTTCCTTGTTTAAGTGCTCAAGCTTTATGAGACAAAAGTTGTAGATATAGCCAATAGTACTTCATTGTACAAGGAAAGATGTGGAAATCTAATCTTCATTATTACTTGATTAGTTGACTTTATCTATTTTAGTTAAGTCTCTTATTTTTAAAATAAGAATGATTTACGTAAATACACTAAATCCATTAGATATTTTCCTATTATGTGTAGAGAGTAAATTACTCTTTTGATTAGTTGTTTTAATGCATGAAAATCTTGGATTTTAAGACTAAGAATATTCAGTCTTTAGTCTATATATTTTCATAAAATTCTAGCATTGTAATAAGAAAAATATAGAAAAAAATAGTTTTATTCTAGAGTTTTTTTTATGGTATCAGAGCACAATTTGAACCTTTGAAAATTTTCACTCGGAATACAACATGGCTACTGGAAAGGAGAGCCAGGCATTGGAAGTTACTTCTAACCCCAGAGTTAGCATTTTTCAATCATTGCAAAACATTACACTCTTATTAGAACAGGCTCTTTGGCACAAAAATGTAATTTTCTTAGTGCATTGAGTATAAAACTAGTAGATTGTAAATTCAGGAGCTTCAGACCATATGACTGGAGATGCATCTGTATTTAGTAAATACAACCCATGTCATGAAAACTTCACAGTTCTAATTGCTGATGGGTCAATTTCAAAAGTAACTGGTACAGGTTCTGTTATTATTTAAAAAAAAAACAGTTGATTTTGTTCTATTTGTCTCAAATCTAAGTTGCAATCTACTATCTATAAGTAAACTTACGAGAGACCTTTAAGTGTGTTACTAAATTTCTTCCAAATATGTGTGAATTTCAGGATTTGAATTCGAGGAAAATGATTGGCAATGCTAAGATATGTGCAAGACTCTACATCCTAAGAGCTAATGATTCTGAAATACAATATCAAAAGATCTCTTTTGTAGCTTTATCCTCTAGTAATAACAAAGATAGTACAACCATGTTGTGGCACTGTTGGTTAGGTCATCCAAATTTTTTATACCTTAAAGGTTGTTTCCCTCATTATTCAATCAAAATTCAAACAACTTTCAGTGTGAAGTCTACCAATTATCCAAACATACTCGTACCACATATCCTAATCAGTTTTACAAACCATCCCATCCTTTTTTAATGATATACAGTGACATTTGGGATCCCTCAAGAGTAAATAATATTACTGACCCAGATGGTTTGTCACATTTATTGATGATCACACCAAGGTTACTCGGGTATTCATTATGAAGGAAAAATCAGAAATAGGCCAGCTATTCCAAAACTTCAACAATATGATCCAAACTCAATTCAAAACTAAAATCCAATTGTTGATAGCTGACAATGGGAAAGAATAATACAATTCAATTCTTGGATCATATCAAATAAAGCATGATATAATTCATCAAAGCTCATGTGTCGACACTCCTCAACAGAATGGTGTTACTGAAAGAAAGAATTGACATTTATTGGAAATTGCAAGATCTCTCATGATAGCTGCCCATGTACCTAAGCATTTTTGGGGTGAGGCTGTTCTTATTGCTACATATCTTATAAACAGAATACTTTCTCGAGTCCTGAAATTTCAAAGCCCTTGCCAATCCTTTCTCAGTTCTTATCTTCACCTTCAAATCATTTTGTCTATTTCCATTAAAGTGTTTAGATGCATTACATTTGTTCTTACCAACCAACAAAACCAAAGCAAATTAGATCCCAAAACCATCAAATGCATATTTCTCGGATACTCTCCAAATAAAAAAGGATATAAGTGTTACTCACCAGTAACAAAGAAATTCTACCATTACATGAATGTTACCCTTTTTGAAAATCAACCTTACTTTCCCAAAACTGCTATTCAGGGAGAGAATCCAATCACAGGGGAATATCAGCTTTGGGAAGATCTTATTATGGAACCACCAAACACTTCTCAAACTCCTTTTCACGTTCAAAACATCCAACCAGATCTTCCAATTCCCTTTCAAGTCCAAAACATTCAACCAGATCCTCCAAACCCGAAGTCCATGCAAGGGAAAACAAATAAAGAATTGATTATCTATTTAAGAAGAAAAAACTCAGAAGGATATAGGAGAATGTACACCTTCAAAGCAAAACCAAGAATCTAAATTGATTCCAAAGATACTTGAAACCAACGCATGTAACACTCTTACTGAATTTGATTCAATTGAATCTTTTGATGATCTTGATCAACCGATTGCTCTAAGAAAAAGTGTGAGATCATGTACTCAACACCTAGTCTATAATGTGGTTTCTTATAAAGATTTATCACCCAGTTATCAGGCTTTTGTTATCACACTAAACGATATGGCAGATTCCCAATAATATTCATGAAGTACTCATGCAACCAAAATGGAAAATGGTTGTTTCGGAAGAAATCAAGGCCCTAGAAAAGAACAAAACATGGGAGATTTCAAAATTATCCAAAGGGAAAAATTCAGTTGGGTGCAAATAGATTTTTGTTGTCAAGCACAATACAGATGGAAGTATTAACAGATTCAAAGCTCGCCTTGTTGCAAAAAGATTTACTCAATCTTATAATGTTGATTATGAGGAGACATTTACTCCGGTTGCTAAACTTAATTCAATCCGGGTGTTATTATCATTGGTAGCAAATCTAGATTGGCCACTCCACTAACTAGATGTCAAAAATGCATTTCTTAATGGCGACCTAGAAAAAGAAGTTTACATGAAAATCCCTCAAGGATTCAAAAACTAGGACAATTTTGGCAAGGTATGTAAGCTTCAAAAGTCTTTATATGGTTTCAAACAATCTCCACTGCATGGTTTGATAGACTAACAAAAGTGGTAAAGAAATATGATTTTTCACAGTGCCAGATTGATTACACCATGTTTGTCAAACATTCACCTAAAGAAAAAATAGCCATTTTTATTGTCTATGTGGAAGAAATTAGCAACCTAAAGAATCTTCTAGCCAAAGAATTTGAAATCAAAGATTTGGGATACCTCAAATTTTTTTTGGCATGGAGGTAGCTTGCTCAAGGAATGGCATCTTTGTTTCACAGCGTAAGTATGTCCTAGACTTACTAAAGGAAGCCCAAATGCTTGGATGCAAACCTGTTGACACCCCTATGGACACAATGAATAAGGTAGGAATGGAAAAAGAAAGTCCAACAAATAAGGGCAGATATCAAAGACTTGTTGGGAAACTCAGGTTTTTCAGTTAGTATGATAAGCAGATTCATGAATAACCCAATCGAGGAACACTTGAGGGCTGTGTATCGAATCTTACAGTACTTAAAGAAGAGTCTTGGCAAAGGGTTATTTTTTAAGAAGACCTCATGTCAAAATGTTGACATTTACACTGATGCTGATTGGGCTGGATCTATTATTGACCGAAGATCAACTACTGATTACTATATCTATGTGTGGGGAAATTTGGTTACTTGGCGAAGCAAAAAGCAATCTGTGGTGGCTAGAAGTAGCGTGGAAGCTGAGTTTAGAGCTATGTCTCGTGGCGCATGTGAGGGAATTTGGCTAAAAAGATTGCTAGGGGAGTTAAAGGTCTTTGCAGAAGAATCCATGAAGATATTTTGTGACAACAAAGCTGCCATAAGTATAGCAAAGAATCTTGTTCATCATGATAGGACTAAACATGTGAGATTGATCGTCACTTCATCAAAGAGAAGATAGAGGAAGGATTATTAGATTAGTTTATACTCCCACATGCCTCCAAACTGCATACATACTAAGGCTTTCTCTCAAAACAATTTCGAGAATTTGAAGTCCAAGCTGGGCATGACTGACATCTACCATTTAGCTTGAGAGGGAGTGTGGAAATCTAATTTTCATTATTACTTGATTAGTTGACTTTATCTATTTTAGTTAATTCTCTTATTTTTAAAGTAAGAAGTGATTTGGGTAAATACACTAAATCCATTAGATATTTTCTTATTATGTGTAGAGAGTAAATTACTCCTTTAATTAGCTATTTTAACACATGAAAATCTTGGGTTTTAAGGCTGAGAATATTCAGTCTTTAGTCTATATATTTTAATGAAATTCTAGCATTGTAATAAGAAAAATATAGAAAAATAAAATAGTTTTATTCTAGAGATTTCTTCAAAAGAGAATGAGAGAAGGAAACAAAAACAATAACATGATTGAATGAAGATAGTTTTAAATCTTAAGACCACCTTAAAAGCTTCTAATTTGATTCAAATTTGAGATCCATAAGATATTGATTCCTTCACAGATGAAATTATAGAATGGTAGAGAAAGGGAGAAATAATGGTGAAGTTAATAACAATTCAAAGGAGTCAAAGAAAGATGCAACTTGAATGACGTTTTCCCTGCCTATAAAGTTCTATATACACCGTGGTGGTCATGACTTGTAGTTGATGTTGTTCATAATGTTAAAAAAGAAAAATATCACAAAAGGTAAAATAATGAAAATAAATTATACAGGAAAAATGAATATAAAAATTTAAGTTTTGATTTCTCAACGACAGTAAAACTTGTGCAAATAACTGTTTGAGATCATAAATCACAAATGTTGCTCCTACTTGACAGTGTTCTCAATCTCTCTTTTGCTAACTATTTACTAGTACGTCTTCTCTGCATACCTGGCAAGAGAAAAAGTTGCTTCTTGTTCTGTTGTGTTATTTATTATAATTTTATTTAAGGTGAACCAGGCCTAGAAAGTTTGCTTGCTATGCCATTAAAATAATTAAGCCTATGATTTTGGTGCAGCAAATCAAGTCTCCAAAAATTAGTTTTACTGTGGGTGCCCCATCTGGTTTTTATTCCATAACGTGTGGAATTCTCAGGACTAGAAGATTTTGTATTTAGAAAGTGAAAAAAAAATCATTTGTTGCTTTCATGAGTCCTTTAATTTTATAATGGCTTCTTTTCCCTGAAGCAATAGAAGCAGTAGATTGTTGATGCTCATGTCTGCAACTTTTGGTTAGTGGTCTTTGTGCATGCATGATTGGCATGGTAATGGCTAAGAAGGCCAAACTAGAACATGTGCAAAGTAACCAAATTTAAGTCTGGAAACAGACAGGATTATAAATTATAAAAAAAGAAAGAAGATGGAATTCGAGTAAACCAAAAGTTTGCTAATATCATCCCCTTGGTTGAAACGATTCGACAAATACATGGAAAATATGGATAAATTTGGGTGAAAGTGATAATAATGGAATAATAGTGCCTGTCTAAAGCCTGCACAAGCTCAACACATTAAGCAAGTTTGGAGAAATAATTTCCATTACTTCCTTAGCAAATTAGATAGTTCTTTCTCTTTTGCTCAATAAGTCAAATGAGTTGTTTTCTTAAGTAATTTTTCTGTGAAAGTGATGCTAACTTATTATTTAGCTAGCCCTTCTGAATTTTGATATTTACCATCTCTTTGCATGTTTTGCATCTCTTTGGGATATCCTATCATGCATACGTATGCTATAGGTTTTGGCTTGATATTCATGTACAGGCAGTGAATGCAACTACTCAAAATTGACATTTGATGGTGTTGATATGATGGGTGAAAGGCTAGCTCAAGAGGTAATTTGGTAATAAATATTTTTTTATCTTATTTCTTGGTGTTTTTGATTGATAAAAAAGCCGTTTTAATTTGACTTTCCTTGGCCAAAAAAAATCTTTCCCGGTTTTTGTTTTGAAAATTTGTAATTTGTTAACTTTTTGGGGGAGAATATCATAGTTATCTTCATTTACGGACTAATATATGATGCAGGTATTGAGTGTTGTCAAACGTAGGCCAGAGATAAAGAAGATTTCTTTTGTGGCTCACTCTTTAGGTGGTCTTGTTGCAAGATATGCTATAGGGAGGCTCTATAAGCATTCTCCAAAGTTAGGTCAATCAGGTCTTTATGCGAACTCTATAACTGAAGAGGTCACAAATTCTTCAATGCAATATCTTAAGCAGCCTTGTGAAGATAGAGTTGCTGGATTGGAACCGATGAATTTTATAACTTTTGCAACACCACATCTTGGTTCAAGGGGACATAAACAGGTAAGTAGCATGCTTTTACATGTTATCTGGACTCAAATTTTTTATTTGCATGCTGTTTTACTTGTTATTGATTTGCAATATTTTCAATATTGAACAAAAATAAAGGGTAAAAAACCAAGTACCTGAGAGCTCTGGTCATTGTCACTCGTCCACCCCAAAAACCTTTCCATCCACAAAGTCCGAAAATAGATGGGGTCATTAAATCTTATTTACTGCTATCTGTGCAAACTCTGAACCTTCCAAGCACACAGTTTCTGCCCGGGTGAATCCTTTACAGCCCAAGAGATGCCCAGCATATAAGCCTTGGATCAAAGCTGTCTCACCAAGTATATGTTAGCAGAAGATGGTGATTTGGATTCTAATAATCTAGTTGGAAGAAAATTTCCTCTTTTGGAGGTTGTCACTTGTCAAAATTCTTCCCAGGATGTTCCCCAAGACAGACTGCTCTCTCTGTAGGGGTCTTTTACTTGCAATATTTTCCTTGCTGCTTTTTTTTTTTAATTTTTTAAATTTTTGTAAATTTCTCCTTGCTAAATTTTTAAAAATAGTTTAAGGTAAATCATGATATCTGGACTCTTTTTGAGGTGCTGAAAACATTGGGAAGAATAATGAACAGTTCTTATGGGGAAAAAGGGGGTGGATATGCTGTAATTTTTCCTACCTTATTCAAGCAGGTTTTCCTGTAAACTCAGACCATAAATTAATGTTAGCTCTGCCTAGTTGGCAATTCCTGGAGTCTGGACATGAATAACTAATAAGTGAAGCTATGTAAGAACCCTTGCTTGAATGCTGACAGTAGAAATTTGAATTTATTTTCTGTACGGCTCTGCATTAAGAGACTTTTTTTTACTGGTTGTTTTTGTGGAAACTGAATGTCTATTGAAAAACTGCTTATCTACAATTATACAAGAATCTTAGGTTTATATACAACTAACTAGGGGTTAAACTAGGAAACTAAATCTTCCTTAATTCTAGGGATACAAATACTTAATTCTAGAGATACAAATATAAATATACAAATTATAAGATTACAACCAGTTGTAAATAAGTGTTTTCCCACACTCCCCCTCAAGCTGGTGAATAGGTGTTTTCCATTCCCAGCTTGGAAATAATTTCTTGAAATGTTGCACTGCTGAGACCTTTAGTCAACACATCTGCAAGTTGACCCTTGGTTGATACATAAGGTGTACAAATCAACCCACTGTCTAGTTTCTCCTTTATGAAATGCCGGTCTACTTCAATGTGTTTTGTTCTGTCATGTTGCACAGGATTGTGTGCAATGCTTATTGCGGACTTGTTATCACAGTAGAGTCTTATTGGTCCATCCCACTTGATCTTCAAGTCTTCTAGGATAATCTTTAACCATAGTAGTTCACAAATTCCTTGAGCCATTGCTCTGAACTCTGCTTCAGCACTTGATCTTGCCACCACATTTTGTTTTTTACTCTTCTAAGTCACAAGATTACCACCTAAAAAAGTGCAGTAGCCTGAGGTAGATCTTCTATCAGTTACTGAACCTGCATAATCAGTATCTGTATATGCTTCTAGAACTAACCCCGAATCTCTTTTGAATAAGATACCTCTCCTAGGATTGGCCTTCAAATAGTGCAATATATGGTAGACAGCCTGTAGGTGCACTTCTTTAGGACTATGCATAAATTGACTTACCACACTCACAGCATATGCTATATCAGGTCTAGTATGTGAGAGATAAATGAGTCGTCCAACTAATCTTTGGTACATCTCTCTATTTACAGCAGCATCTTCATTAGCTTCTCCAATTTTATGATTAGGATTTATAGGGGTATTTGCAGGTTTACATGCAAGCTTCCCAGTTTCCTTCAGAAGATCCATCAAATATTTTTGTTGTGAGATAAAAATACCATGCCGTGAGTGAGCTACTTCAATTCCTAGGAAGTACTTCAATCTCCCTAGCTCTTTTATCTCAAATTCTCTAGTCAAACACTGTTTTAGAGATTCTTTCTCTTTTTCATCATCTCCAGTTACAATTATATCATCAACATACACTAATAGAACTGTGACTCTCCCTGAATCAAAGTTCTTGATAAACAATGTGTGATCTCTTTGACTCTGTTTATATCCCATTGCTAGCATCACTTTGGCAAATCTCCCGAACCAAGCTCTAGGATACTGTTTAAGGCCATATAAAGCCTTTTTTAACCTGCATACTTTGTTTGCTTCTAGATGACCTTCAAATCCTGGTGGAACCTTCATATATATTTCTTCTTCCAAATCACCATGTAAAAAAGCATTCTTTACATCAAATTGTTGAAGCTGCCAATTGTAATTTGCAGCTAATGATAACAAAATCCTAACTGTATTCATCTTGGCAACTGGAGCAAAGGTTTCCTGGTAATCCACTCCATAGGTCTGAGTGTAGCCCTTAGCCACTAACCTAGCTTTATACCTTTCAACAGTACCATCTACCTTGTATTTTACAGTGAAAACCCATTTACACCCCACTGGATTTTTTCCTTTGGGCAACTCTACCAGTTCCCATGTCTGATTTTTCTCTAAAGCCTCCATTTCTCACTGGATAATGCCTCAGATAATGTAGTTGGAACAGAAATAGTGTTTAGGCTCACAAGAAAATTTTTGTGGGATGGTGAGAATTTTTCAAATGACACAAAATTAGATATTGGGTATAGTGGATGCTTGGTACATTCTCTGGTTCCTTTCCTAATGGCAATAGGCAAATCATAATCACTAGTTATAGTTTTAAGAGATTCATGCTCATTTTGAGAAACAGAGTAAAAAACTGTAGTTACCTCATTTCCAGAGTTAGGATCAAGTTCTTGGACTGGCACTAGTTCAGGATCTGGAACTTTTCTTCTTGAGTACACCTGTAATTCCTTCATAGAATCAAGAACAATATTATCCTTTGTCACATCTTTCGTATTTGGAATGGGTTCAGACTCAAATTCAATGTTTGACTTGGGCTCAGCAGAAACAGGTTTCGACTCATAAGAATTAATGGGTGTAAATGTTGAAGAAGGGGGCAAATCAAGCAAAAAGAAGTCTTTATCCTTATCTTCCATGAATGAAGTCTCCCCCTGAAGATAAGGTTAAGTAAAAAATGGTTTATTTTCTTCAAAAGTGACATCTGCAGACACATAAATTTTTTTTGTAGGAGGATGATAGCACTTATATCCTTTTTGAGTTGAAGAATACCTCACAAAAATACACTTAATCGCTCTTGGATCCAACTTTCCCCTGTTATGACTGTGAACATGAACAAATAATGTACAACCAAATATCCTAGGTGTGAGATTGTTTGTGGTATTTAGGTTGGGATAAAATTGTGAGAGTAGTTCCATAGGAGTTTTAAATCCCAAAACTCTTAAAGGTAACCTATTTATAATGTGTGTGGTAGTGAGAACAGCTTCCCCCCAATGAGATTTAGGTACATTTGCTTGAAAAAGAAAGGCTCTGGTTGTGGCTAATAAATGACTGTTTTTTCTCTCTGTCACTCCATTCTGTTGTAGAGTATTAACACAAGATGACTCATGAATAATCCCCTCTTTTTGGAAATAGGTGGATAGACTCTGGTTGAAGTAGTCTTTTGCATTATCAGACCTAAATCTCTTGATTCTTACTCCAAATTGATTTTGGATCATGTTTTGAAAGCTTAAAAACACACTATTCACATCTGATTTGGATTTAAGTAAAAAAACCCAAGAGACCCTAGTACAATCATCTATGAATGAAACAAACCATCTCGCACCAGAAATATTAAGAATTGTAGAAGGATCTCAAATGTCACTATGAATCAAGTAAAAAGGAGTAGAACTTCTTTTGTTACTGATTGGAAAAGACACACGTCTATGTTTTGCAAATTCGCAAATATCACAATGAAAATCTTCAACATTTAATTCTTTGAACAAAGAAGGAAACATGTTTCTCAAGGTTCCAAAAGAAGGATGTCCAAGACGAAAATGATAAAGCCAGATTTTGTCTTTATTGGAAGATTTTTCAGAAAGAAATGACAAAGGTAAACTATTTTTTATACTACTTGTGTTATTTGATGTCTCAAGATAGTATAGTCCATCCTTCTCCTTAGCAAGTCCAATCATCTTCCCCGAACTCTGGTCCTGAAATTCACAATAAGAGGGATAAAAAGTTACTTTGCAATTCATATCTCTGGTAAGTTTTTGTATAGATATCAGATTAGTAGACAATCCAAGAACATGAAGAACATTTTTGAGAACAAACGAGGGATTAACTTGAATATCTCCAAATCCTGCCACTGTGGTAAGTGAACCATCAGCAACAACAATTTTCTTATTACTAGGACACAAGTTATATGTACTAAACTTTTGTGGGGAATGTGTCATGTGGTATGTGGCTCCTGAGTCAATGACTCAAGAACTCGTAATAGGCTTAGCCGAGACATTTAATCCATGAGAATCGGAAGCTTTACCTGAACTAGAAACTTTACCCAAAGAACATACCATAGTAGGCTTTTCAAGGATTTTCAATAAGTTTCTTAGCTTTTCAATCTCTTCCCTGTTGAACTCTCCTTGTATCTGAGACATCTGTAGTACTCCAGTGATTTTTCCCAATTAACATTTCCTCAAATTAGGTGATAGTGATATCTTTCTTTGAAAGGGTTCGGCAATGAAGGGCTAAACAGGATTCGGCAATGAATGCCTAAAAAAGTCAGCAATGAAGGCTGAAAATTTTTCTTCCCAAGAAGAGCCTAAAGCTCTGATACCATGTGAAAACTGAATGTCTATTGAAAAACTGCTTATCTACAATTATACAAGAATCTTAGGTTTATATACAACTAACTAGGGGTTAAACTAGGAAACTAAATCTTCCTTAATTCTAGGGATACAAATACTTAATTCTAGAGATACAAATATAAATATACAGATTACAAGATTACAACCAGCTGTAAATAAGTGTTTTCCCACAGTTTTATTACCTTCCTGTTCTTGGTTTCTTCTATTTGATGTATGCATAAATTGAGCTGCGCATAATACAGCTGAGGCTGTGGTCTATGTTTTGCAGCTCCCACTTCTTTGTGGTCTTCCTTTTCTTGAGGAAAGAGCATCTCAGACTGCACACTTGGTTGCTGGAAGGTCTGGAAAGCATCTGTTTCTCACTGACAATGATGAGGGAAAACGCCCCCTTCTCCTTAGAATGGTTGATGACAGTGATGACCTGAAATTCATGTTAGTGTTAATTTTCTGATTCCCTATAATCAATTGCCTTAACGCTTATTCTTAATAACTACTGAATGGGTAATGCCCTTTTTTAAATTAACCTGAATAGATCAGCTCTACGTGCATTTAAGCGACGTGTGGCATATGCAAATGCAAATTATGATTGTATCCTTTTTGAGGTTAAAGTTTCTCATCAACTGCATCTAGTTTATACATAATGTTGTGTTTTTGCTTTTTGTACAAAATTATGTTTATCTTGAGTTGTATCTGAGATATGGTTGGCTGGAGAACATCATCAATCCGACGTCAGAATGAACTTCCAAAGGTGATTTTTTCCAATCAATGTGTTACTTTCTTATATTTCTCAGCTCTAAGTCTCACATCACAGCTTAGTTTTATTAATATTTTTTATCTTTATTTCAGTCAAATCTTCTTGTAATAGATGAGAAGTATCCGCATGTTGTATATGTTGAGAGGGAAACTACAAACAACATCCAAAACAAAGCTTCCTTTATTTCTGGAGCCCAAACAAGTGATGTTGAAGGTTTGTTGAGCATTTATGCTTCTAGTTTATTGTTTAGATTTTGGTATAACAATTGAACATATACTGTTTAGGGATTTGACGGCATTTAGGGTTAATTTGGAAGGGTTGGGAGGGAGGGAGAGGGAGGGAAATCAGTTAGACTTTTCAGGCTTTAGGGAATTGTTATGGCATTTAAGGTTATACGTGGTATTTCACTTTAATATTAGGGTAAAGGTGTAGCTTACTATTCTCTATGTTATCTTTCGGCGAGGGGTAGTTTAGAGGGAGGGGTATGGGGAGGGAGAAAGGGAGAGAAAGAAATAGATCAATTATAGTTTGTTGTATTCAGGGAACAGTTATTCCATTTAGCATTAGTTATTTTTAGTATTTCATATTAATATGTTTAGGGTGTAGCCTGTAATTATCTATGTTATTTTAGTTTCTTGTAGCTTTGAGATATTAATATGTTTAGGATAATGTGTATTTCTCCCTTGTTCTATCTCTTCCTTGAGAAATTACTATTTCCCTCCCTTCCATCGAACATCATTCTTTTCTCTATTTTTTTTCTCTTTCCTTCCCATGTTTTGCATCAATATTAAATTATAGTAGCCTCTTGTACATGTATATTAATATATACACACACATAATAATGAAATGTTTCTCAAAACTTTCTCTCAAGCTGGAGCATATACACCATATGCTTCTAGGTTCTAACAAAACAAATTCTTACCTTGGTTACTTCCAAAGAATTTGGTGAACAGATCTTCTAGTTCATTCTCTGATTTCCTGTGAATGACTCTAAGGAGTAGTACTTTTAAAATCCTTTCTATAAACTAAGTGACAGTCAACCTTGTTGTTTTTTTCTTCTACTAAATTACTGGATTAGGTGCAACATGAACTGCTTTTTGATTATATCACACACTAAGTTCAGGAGTTGGGAATGTTCAACTGCTAGCTCTTTGAGCGTTGTCTTCATAGAAATCCACTCACAACTAGTATGAGTAATGTTTCTGTAATATGATTCAACACTAGACCTTATCACCATAGTCAGTTTTTTTCTCTTCCAAGATTTTGACTTTCAACCAACAAAGATGATGATGCTTTCCCAAATAGCATGACTCACACATTAAGAAGACATATAATAGGAACTTCTTCAACTTTTCCAATGAGAATTTCCTAGACTGCAGTGAATCTAGAATGGTGAAATGAAACCACATAAGCAGTAGGAGATATCAACAAGGAGAGGCAGCAGAGGTGACCGGGTTTATGTCATTCGCTAATTAGGGGAAATGGTGACTGAGCAATTTAAATGTCTAGTACATTTACTAACAAACATGAGATTAAAAGGAAAACAAGGAAAGTACTAGTTTAGTCAAAGGGGTAAGGTGCCCTCAAAAGCTAGGATCTTTATATTACCTGAAGGGCAATGGGTCCAACAAGGGCTTGCTCTAGTGAAACAAGGCACTAAATTGGTACATATACATGTATAGCCGCAGATTCACATGCATACATACATAGACAGTTTGTACCTAATAAACATAAAATGTACTATAATTTTAGTGTATAAACTTTTATAAGTTGATTGTCCATTCTTTTGTTGCATGGTTGCAAAGATCAAACATTATCCTAAATACATAAAGTGTATCCATATTTTCTTCACTTCCATCTTCTCCAGATTGATCATTTTCTACCTCTTCCTTTTTAGTCTCATCTAGCCTTGCCTCATCTTCTTCGAAGTTTGCTTGTGACGATGAAGTGACTGATCTTGGGTACATCTCCTATTTCTTCCCAGATATGGTGGAAGCATCCAAAGATTTTCAGTGGCCTTGCATTTCCTTTTGTGGAACATCCTAGACTTAATTAATTTGAGCGACTTCATTTCAAAGAAATACTTGTATTGTCTTATATTGTAGAAAGCCATGCTTATCCTTTTCATAAAATTAGAAGACTCCGAAAAATTAATGACTAGCATATATTGAAGAAACTTCACTTCGGCAAGTCTTTTGGGTGCCTCAGGCCCTGTGAAAGGCATGAGCTTGAGTAAATGGGCCTTACTCTGAGTCTGATGAGTCACTTTTGCTCTCTGATGCCTCACCTTGGGTTCGAGGAGTACTTTATTTCTTTTTAGTTTGTAGTTTTATAGCACGTGCGGGTGCCTCAGGCCCTGTGAAAGGCATGTGCTTGAGTAAATGGGCCTTGCTCTGAGTCTGATGAGTCACTTTTGCTTTCTGATGCCTCACCTTGGGTTCGAGGAGTACTTTATTTCTTTTTAGTTTGTAGTTTTATGGCACTAGGCACGTGCCTTAACCTCACTATGATTAGAGAAATTAAGAATGGGTTTGATTGTTCCTATACCAGTATGAGATAAATGGTTATGATAAAAGAAGAATTGAGTTTGATTGTCCTATGCATCTTAACTGTTGTAGTGGAGCCATGAACTACAGTGATGGTACCCAAAAATAATGAAAACCTAGAGTGTTTTTAGGAAGTAATTAAGTGGTATTAATGATTAGAAAAAAGGAATATATGTAACTGACATTTCATCAGTTTGGTTGAATCGATAATGCAAGGTCCATAAGAGAACTGCAGAAGTACTGGATGTAGAAAAAACTGTGTTTCAAAGATTTTACTTTCTTGGCTGGAACTGTGTAGGAAGAGATTCTTGCTGAGCTTCCTGATATTGAAGAAACTTGAAGTGAACATACCCTGGTAGGGCTGTAGTTTTCTATTCCAAACAACAGGAGATTCATATAAATTAGGGGATGCAGCATTAGAAACTCTGCAGGTCTATGGATAATACCGATCGTCAGAATAGTTCTTGAGCCCACAACAGCACAAATACTAAGTCAACCTTAACTCTTCCTTCTGTCTTCATGATTTCCCCACTAGTACCATGGGTACTCGTATGATCTCTATTATTTTAAGAAGACTTTGCAACTCTCGCAACTCCCTTCCTACCAGGATGAATGAGACGGAATTATCTTGAGAAGAGGCTTGAGTAACTTGTCAATAAGTCTCAGCAAATGCAAAATCTTCTTCCTCCAAAAGCTATGGATTAAATTAGTTCGAACTTTGACTTCAGACTAGCTGAAAGTTTAAGAATTGTAATCGTTCTCTTTGCTTTTATCCTTGACAATCATCAGCAAAATTGGCAGAACAATGTACAATTCCTCATGGAAACTCTTTGAATGTAAATCACTTGGTGAATTTTTGGTCTCCATATTGCAACTCAGTATGCTGAGGGCAACTTGTACAAGCAATTACTAGAGTACAGCAGGTAATGGGTTCATATTCCAGCAAACCATATCTCCATCTTGTTCTATAACTAACCATCGGAGCATCTTTCTGAAACCATGCATTGACCTGTTTTCTTATAATTAGCAGCAAACCATATCTCCATGTGAACTTGTTTTGTTTCCTCTTTATCAGTTAATATAAATTTTAACCATCTTGGAACCCTAGGGCTGCTGCAAATAATTATCGCCTTTCAAATTTTCAGTTGTAAATTGTGGGGAAATGTAGAACATACAACACCTTTCATCCACAGGCTATCCCATTATGCATGGTAGATACTAGTGCATGCTACCAAAGCCACCAATTCATGATCAAACAGTGAAGAAATAAAACATTTTATATAATGAAATGCCAGCTATGTCACCAAAAGTCAGGCTTTCTACAAAATTCCAAAACTCAGAAGGCTGAAAGAGGCCAATATATGTCTGCAACCCTTGGTCATCTTTAAACACTGTAGTATATCTGCATGTATTTATGTGGAAAAACTAAGAAATAAATCAGTGTGAAAACTGAATGTATATTGAAAAACTGCTCATTAAGAATTATACAAGAACCTTAGGTTTATATACAACTAACTAGGGGTTAAACTAGGAAACTAAATCTTCCTAAAAAACTAATCCTATAATTGAGGGATTGTCTATCTTAATTTTTGTCCTTAATTCTAGGGATACAAATACTTAATTCTAGAGATACAAATATAAATATACAGATTACAATATTACAACCAGCTGTAAATAAGTGTTTTTCACACTCCCCTTCAAGCTGGTGAATATGTGTTTTCCATTCTCAGCTTGGAAATAATTTCTTGAAATGTTGCACTGCTGAGACCTTTAGTCAATACATTTGCAAGTTGACCTTTGGTTGATACATAAAGTGTACAAATCAACCCACCGTCTAGTTTCTTCTTTATGAAATGCAGGTCTACTTCAATGTGTTTTGTTCTGTCATGTTGCACAAGATTGTGTGCAATGCTTATTGCAGACTTGTTATGACAGTAGAGTCTCATTGGTCCATCCCACTTTATCTTCAAGTCTTCTAGGATAATCTTTAACCATAGTAGTTCATAAATTCCTTGAGCCATTGCTCTAAACTTTGCTTCAGCACTTGATCTTGCCATCACATTTTGTTTTTTACTCCTCTAATTCATAAGATTACTACTTAAGAAAGTGTAGTAGCCTGAGGTGGATCTTCTATTAGTTACTGAACCTGCATAATCAGCATCTGTATATGCTTCTAAAATTAGCTCCGAATTTCTTTTGAATAAGATACTTCTCCCAATGTTAGCTTTCAAATAGTGTAATATACGGTAGACAGCCTGTAGGTGCACTTCTTTAGGACTATGCATAAATTGACTTACCACACTCACAACATATGCTATATCAAGTCTAGTATGTGAGAGATAAATGAGTCTTCCCACTAATCTTTGGTACATCTCTCTATTTACAGCAACATCTTCATTAGCTTCTCCAATTTTATGATTAGGATCCATAGGGGTATTTGCAGGTTTACATGCGAGCTTTCCAGTTTCCTTCAGAAGATCCATCACATATTTCTGTTGTGAGATGAAGATACCATGCCATGAGTGAGCTACTTCAATTCCTAGGAAGTACTTCAATCTCCCTAGCTCTTTTATCTCAAATTCTCTAACCAAACACTGTTTTAGAGATTCTTTCTCTTTTTCATCATCTTCAATTACAATTATATCAACATACACTAATAGAACTGTGACTCTCCCTGAATCAAAGTGCTTGATAAATAATGTGTGATCTTCTTGACTCTGTTTATATCTCATTGCTAGCATCACTTGGGCAAATCTCCCGAACCAAGCCCTAGAAGACTGTTTAAGGTCATATAAAGCCTTTTTCAGCCTGCATACTTTGTTTGCTTCTAGATGACCTCCAAATCTTGGTGGAACCTTCATATATATTTCTTCTTCCAAATCATCATGTAGAAAAGCATTCTTTACATCAAATTGTTGAAGCTGCCAATTGTAATTTGCAGCCAATGATAACAAAATCCTAATTGTATTCATCCTGACAACTGGAGCAAAGGTTTCCTGATAATCCACTCCATAGGTTTGAGTGTAGCCCTTAGCCACTAACCTAGCTTTATACCTTTCAATAGTACCATTTGCCTTGTATTTTACAGTGAAAACTCATTTACACCCCACTGAATTTTTTCCTTTAGGCAACTCTACCGGTTCCCATGTCTGATTTTTCTCAAAGGCTTCAATTTCTATCTTCATGGCTTGCCTCCATTTCTCACTAGATAATGCCTTGGGCAATGTAGTTGGAACAAAAATAGTGTTTAGGTTCACAAGAAAATTTTTGTGGGATGGTGAGAATTTTTCAAATGACACAAAATTAGAGATTGGGTAGAGTGGATGCTTAGTACATTCTCCGGTTCCTTTCCTAATGGCAATAGGCAGATCATAATCACTAGTTATAGTTTTAGGAGATTCATGCTCATTTTGAGAAATAGAGTCAAAAACTGTAGTTACCTCATTTTCAGAGTTAGGATCAGGTTCTTGGACTAGCACTGGTTCAGGATCTGGAACTTTACTTCTTGAGTACACTTGTAATTCCTTCATAAAATCAAGAACAATATTATCCTTTGTCATATCTTCTGTATTTGGAATGGGTTCAGAGTCAAATTCAGTGTTTGACTTGGGCTCAGCAGAAATAGGTTTCGACTCAGAAGAATTAATGGGTGTAAATGTTGAAGAAGGGGACAAATCAAGCAAAAAAAAGTCTTTATCCTTATCTTCCATGAATGAAGTCTCCCCCTGAAAATAAGGTTGAGTAAAAATAAAAAATGGTTTACTTTCTTCAAAAGTGACATCTACAGACACAGAATTTTTTGGTAGGAGGATGATAGCACTTATATTCTTTTTGAGTTGAGGAATACCCCACAAAAATACACTTAATCGTTCTTGGATCCAACTTTTCCCTGTTATGACTGTGAACATGAACAAATGATGTACAACCAAATATACTAAGTGTGAAATTGTTTGTGGTATTGAGGTTGGGATAAAATTGTGAGAGTAGTTTCATAGGAGTTTTAAATCCCAAAACCCTTGAAGGTAACCTATTTATAATGTGTGTAGCAGTGAGAATAGCTTCTCCCAGTAAGATTTAGGTACATTTGCTTGAAAAAGAAAGGCTCGAGTTGTGGCTAATAAATGGTTATTTTTCCTCTCTGCCACTCCATTATGCTGTGGAGTATTAACACAAGATAACTCATGGAGAATCCCCTATTTTTGGAAATAGGTGGATAGACTCTGGTTGAAGTAGTCTCTTGCATTATCAGACCTAAATCTCTTAATTCTCACTTCAAATTGATTTTGGATCATGTTTTGGAAGCTTAAAAACACACTATTCACATCTGATTTGGATTTAAGTAAAAAAATCCAATAGACCCTGGTACAATCATCTATGAGTGAAATAAACCATCTTGCACCAAAAATATTAGGAATTGTAGAGGGACCCCAAATGTCACTATGAATCAAGTAAAAAGGAGTAGAACTTCTTTTGTTACTAATTGGAAAAGACACACGTCTATACTTTACAAGTTTGCAAATATCACAATGAAAATCTTCGACATTTAATCCTTTGAACAAAGAAGGAAACATGTTTCTCAAAGTTCCAAAAGAAAGATGTCCAAGACGAAAATGATAAAGTCAGATTTTGTCTTTATTGGAAGATTTTTCAGGAGAAATGACAAAGGTAAACTATTCTTGATATTACTTGTGTTATTTGATGTCTCAAGATAGTATAGTCAGTCCTTCTCCTTAGCAAGTCCAATCCTCTTCCCTGAACTTTGGTCCAAAAATTCACAATAAGAGGGATAAAAAGTCACTTTGCAATTCATATCTCTGGTAAGTTTTTATATAAATATCATATTAGTAGACAATCCAGGAGCATGGAGAACATTTTTTAGAACAAATGAAGGATTAACTTGAACATCTCCTAATCTTGCCACTGTAGTAAGTGAACCATCTGCAACAACAATTTTCTTATTACTAGGACACAGGGTATATGTACTAAACTTCTGTGAGGAATGGGTCATATGGTCTGTGGCTCCTAAGTCAATGTCCCAAGAACTTGTAATAGGCTTAACTGAGACATTTAATCCATGAGAACCAGAAGCTTTACCTAAACTAGAGACCTTACCCAAAAAACATACCACAGTAGGCTTTTCAAGGATTTTCAATAAGTTTCTTAGCTTTTCAATCTCTTCCCTGTCGAACTCTCCTTGTTTTCGAGATATCTGTAGTACTCCAGTGATTTTTTCAGTTGACATTTCCTCAAATTGGGTGGTAGTGATATCTTTCTTTGAAAGGGTTCAGCAATAAAGACCTAAACAAGATCAGCAATAAAGGCCTAAAATAGAAGTCAACAATGAAGGCTGAAAAATTTTGCTTCCCAAGAATAGCCTAAAGCTCTGATACCATGTGAAAAAACTAATAAATAAATTAGTGTAGAAACTGAATGTATATTGAAAAACTGCTCATTAAGAATTATACAAGAACCTTAGGTTATATACAACTAACTAGGGGTTAAACTAGGAAATCAAATTTTCCTAAAAAACTAATCCTATAATTGAGAGATTGTCTATCCTAATTTTTGTCTTTAATTCTAGGGATACGAATACTTAATTCTAGAGATACAAATATAAATATACAGATTACAAGATTACAACCAGCTATAAATAAGTGTTTTCCACAATTTATACTTGTACTCATGCCCTTCCCTAAATGATCTCTCACTGTCAGTGGGTGCATTCCAAGGGTTTCTTTTTTCTTGTTGCCTCCTCAATTTGATTTATGGTTGGGTAAGGCGGGGCTCAAATACCGTATTAATGAAAAAAAAAGAGAGTTCAGAGATTGATAAACTGGAAGTATACTAAATTGCAGTAGCCTCCTAGAATAAAACATGTCTAGCTACATAGAGAATGTCCTCAACACTATAATACTTCTCAACACCTTTCTATACCAAAATTTAGTTGAATGAGTTTGCTTTATCTTACTATATTTTGTTCTGTTCTTAACCTTGTAAACAGTTATATCTTATATGCATTGCTTTCTTATTATATGTATCCCTTTGTTTTGTTTTGGAGATTGGTCACTTGATGTCAACGTGAATAAGCAGAAGAGTCATTGACTAGGGGAAGGCTATTTGAAAAGGATGAATTTCTTCCAACAACTTAACTAGAAACTGCACCCTCCCCTTTTATTGCAGCATTAATAAATGTGAGATAAATGCACAGCTTATCTAGCCAAGGTTGAAAATCATTGCAACTAATGAAACTGGTAACTGTCTGAAGTGATAGTCACAACTTTGGAAGGTCCTCTATAAAACAGTAAAGATAAAAGAAAGCTTATCCTCCCTATTACTTGTAATTGTCTATTTAATTTTGCAAAATTTTCCCATTGATTAGTTCTTTTGTTTTTAACTTTTTTTTTTTGTTTCTTCCCCATGTTTCTTCAGTTATGTTATTCTTAAAAGATTAAAATCATATATTGTTTATCTTAAAGCAGATTGAAATAGAAAATTTTAGAAACCTGCTACACGTACAAGTAAGATCTGTATCAGATAGTTATAATTGATGGGATAGCTCCAATTGTTACCCTCGTCTCTTCGGTGGTTTTTCTTTTTTTTTTTTCTGTTTGTTGTGCAGTTACAGTATGTCATATTAGATTTGTGGCATATTGCTGTTATTCATTCTTGACCATTGTGTCTGATCTTTCCACTAGTCAACTTAATTTATCATCATCTTGTTGATTTGTTTAAACTTCTTTGTCTTAGTTTGAGTGTTTTTCCATTAATTTGTAGAGGTGATGATTCAAGGTCTCACTCAAGTACCCTGGGAACGTGTTGATGTTAGCTTTCAAAAAAGTAAACAACGATATGTTGCTCATAATACAATTCAGGCAAGTTCAATTGTGTCATAGATTTTTTTCACTCTGTATGCTTCATTTCTTTTATACAAAATTGAAAAGTTCTTAAGTTGTGATACCTTGTTTCAAATAGGCCAGACATCTCTATTTATGGCAATAATACACTAAAATGTAGCGAAATGCACAAGGCTCCTCCATCATGGGGTCCTTGCAGGGATAAATGTACACATCTGGCTACCTGCTTTACTAAGAGGCCATGTACCAACGATCCAGTGTTATAAAGAAATAAGGGTGTCTAAGAAAACCTTGGCAGTCTCTTATTGCCCCCGAGTCTATAAATATTTTATTATTAGCAGGATTTGCATTTTGTCAAGGATCTCCTTTTATGGTAGCGTACCAACATAGAGAGAAAATTTTGGAGCTCCTTTCTTTTCTCTTAGGCATGGTGTAGAAGGGCGGTTTGAGAAAGAGGTTAATGTCAAATGCATTCAGATGCTAACGGTTAAATTCAAGCAATGCCCATTATTAGTTTACAAATTTAAATGATAATCTGAAAGTGATTCGTATCTGATAATTCACCATTTGTTATGTTATCTTGGTTTATTATTGTGATTTGTAAGTATTTGAGTATAACCATCACAATAATTTTATATTAGTGTAGTTGGTGAGTTATCTGTTAAAATATTTAAATGAACCAGAGGCAATCAGTGTCTGAAGATTTAATCACTTGATGGTCATTTATTAGGTTCTTTATTAGTAAGCAATACTACATTTTGTGCTTTCTTATTTTATTGTTATTAATAGCAGTGTGCATTTTATATAAAGTATGTCCTGCAAGTTTGTGTGCACAGATTAATGTTTTCTTTGCACCCTACCTTTATTGTTTCACTCATATTTTACATTTTTTAGGTGACGAGCTACTGGTTGAATTCTGATGGAACGGATGTAGTTTTCCATATGATCCACAATTTCCTTGTATAGTCCTGGAAATTTTAGTGTCCGCCTATTGGTGATTCAGCCATGTGTTAGGTCACGTATTTTTAGGTGTAATATGCACATTTTCCCTCATGAGAGTGTTGCGGTATATATTTTTATGTTAATATGGAAACATTACGAATATTGTAAAGTTGTTTTGACCTCTGTCCAAATAGGTTTGCTTATTCTTATATCTCATATATATATATATATATATATATATATATATATTAGCTTCTTTTTTTTTTTATGATACTTGTAATTTACTTTCTATTTAGAAATTAAAAATTTTTTCCTTCTAACTATATCAATGTTCACATTTTGTACTTTGGTTGTTTTGCCATTGCCTTGTGAGGTAGAAATATACACCTTTGCACAACCAATTGACTATGCCTCATACCATACTGTTCTTACTAATAGTTTTAATGACACATTTTATTCATTGATTGCAATTACATATTCATCGAGATTTATGGTTTTAGTATTCATCAGTTTGCCTTTTTTTTTTTTTTTTTTTTTTTTTTTTTTTTTTTTCTGTTTGGCAACATTTGATTTCTTTGATGTTAATGTGTGATTTGTGGTCTGCGCTACTACATCTTGAGTCACAGATTATGACTTTCTTTTCAATTAAATGGCTCAAGAATTTCAAATTTTTGTTGAAGATCAACTTGTCATATCTTAAAACCATGCAGATGACTGTTGATACCAAAGCATTTCATCCTTAAGTTTTGCAAAGCTGTAAAACTTGTGCATGGAAAAATTGTTGGGGGCTTGAGAATTCCTCCAAAATATGATTATTGTTTCAGACAGCATTTGTAAAAGTTTTCAACTTAGATAATTTGTTAATTGTTGAAGTCTTGGCCCTTGCAATGTGTTGACTATCGATACAGATGCAATAAATATATTGAACCTCAGTTCTTATTTTTGTTTTCTTCATTGACTAGAAAAAGTTTTCCACAAATTCTTATGAATTTGATTAAGAAGCTCGGGCTATAGCTTCTAGAATGTTAAAAAAGGAGAAGTTATTTTGATCAAAAGCTGGATTGAGTTATGTGTTGCCTCAATGAGCTGGTTTGAGAAATGGGTAGCTGTCTCATGATTCAGTTTGTGGGATACTGGTTGGTGTGATTATGTCATGCATTTCCTTTGGTCTCCTTTTTTGAACTTACTTGTTCTGGTATTTGACCTGTAAAATACTAGAATGCCTACGTTCTCTTGCATTTTACATTGTGATATATTATTCAATTTTTTCTAGTTACTTAAAGAATGTTACCCTCTTCCTATATTGTTATCTTGAGGTTCCCATTTCAATGTAGCAATTTAGTTTTTCACTTATGTACGGCAATCATGAAATCTTGGGATATTTAATGAAATGTATTACGTGTTGGATATTTCATCATATACTTTTTACAGTATTTTATAAGTTTTCCGAGCGTCAATATATAACCACTAAGCTGACTGTCACATAAGATGAGAAATCCCATCATCTGTTGACAACAAAAGGATCACCTGCAACTCAGTAAGTGGTATAGTTGAAAAATATTCTCGCAGTAAAAAGTTAAGCATGTCAAATTTCTTACAAACTACGTTATGAGTGACATGATTGAGCTAGATCTTGTTAGAATAAGGCTTTAGAAAACAATTCGCTAATCCCTTGATTTAGCTTTTCATTATATAGACAATACTAAGAAAGGAGAATCAATTACAAATTACATATTAATGCTTCTAATTAATCCCTCCTAAACTATGTTCCATGGAATATTCTTATAATATTTCAAATCACACACACGCATACACTAGCACTCCCTCTCAAGTTGGAGCATATATATCAATCATGCTCAGCTTATTACATGTATAGTTAACTCAAACTCTTGAATATGATTTCGTAAGAATTCAACTAGTTATTCCTCTGTGTGCATATGTTTCAATAATATTGTTCCATTCTACAACTTTTTCTTAATGAAATGATAATAAACTTCTTTATGCTTGGTTCTTTCATGAAATATTAGATTGGAAGCAATATGAATCGCCTCCTGATTATCACACCATAACTATGTAAGGGTTCAAATTGAAAGCCCAATTTCATCTAAGAATTGAACCATCCATAATACCTCTGTTGTGGCCAAAGCCATGGCTCTATACTCTGCTTCTGCACTAGACCTAGCAACTACTTGTTGCTTTTTACTCTTTCAAGACACGAGATTACTCCTAAAAAAGATAGCATAATCATATGTAGACTTCCTATCTATAGAAGAGCCTACCCAATCTACATCTGCGTAGGCTCGAATACCTCATCACTAGAAGAATTGTAGAGTATTCCTTTTTCAAGATTTCTCAACAAATATCAAAGATGTGCATCGTTACTCTCCAGTGAGTATTTCTGGGAGCTGTCATGAATTGACTAACCACACTAATTGAAAAGATATATCAAGTTTTGTCAATCAGGTAATTCAGTTTTTCCCACTAGTCTCTTATAAGATGTGGGATCATCAAGTAAAGTGCCATCTTTTGGAGAAAGCTTGATACTTGGATCCATCGATGTGTCACTTGGCTTGGCATGGAACAAGCCTGCATCTCTCAAAATATCCAACACATACTCTAAGATACAAAGATTCCCTTTATACACATTGCCATTTCAATACCTTGAAAATATTTTCATTGACCAAGATCCTTGGTTTCAAACTGGGACTTAAGATATATTTTAAGTCTATCAATCCTTGCACTATCACTGCCGGTGATGATGATATCATTTACATACAGTCCCAATAATATAAGGCCAGAACTCTGCTACATATAAAATACTAAATGATCTTTCTCACTCTGTCGCATGTCATATTGAACAAGAGCTACACTAAATTTGTTGAACCATATGCGTGGAAATTGCTTTAGACCATATAGAGATCTACGTTAATGGCACAACTTCCTAGACTCCCCTTGAGTAATAAACCCCCGTGGTTGCTTCATATAAACCTTCTCAGTTAAGTCACCATGTAGAAAATCATTCTTCGCATCCAACTGATGTAATGCCCATTTATGTATAGCAGCAAAACTAAAAAATAGGCGAATAGATGTCATCTTTACCACTGGTGAAAAAAGTATGAAAATATTCTACTCCATATGTCTACATATATCCCTTTGCTACTAATTTTGCCTTTAATCTGGCCAATGAACCATCAAGATTTAGTTTTGTCATGTAAACTTACTTGCACCAAATAACTTGTTTCCCTTTTAGCAGGGAAACCAAGTCCCATGTATGGTTGGCCTTTAGGGCCATCATCTCATCTTTCATAGCCTTACGTAATCCTAAATCTGTAAAAACATTATGAATAGTATGTGGCACAGTAATAACATCAATTGTGGCAACATAAGTTTGAAGTTAAACAAAAAGTCCTTTGTATGAAGGTGTGTATAAAAGAAAATTTTTGCAAGTTCCCCTACCTTTTCATAGAGCAATCAGTACATCTTCAATCATAGTGTCTCAAAGTGGATCCATCGACAGAGAGATTATTTCAATAAGGGAAGTTTTCGTAAATAGATCTACACATGTCCTTCTAGTGTAATACGACCAAATTGAGTATCTGGGCATGCCTCAAATGGAGATGAATTGATCGCTGTACTATGTATCAAATAAATGAGAAAATCTTCTTCTTCTGATATGATAGGTAATGAATATAGCTATAGAACTAAAGAAAAAGGAACCGACTCATGAAATACAACATTTATTGAAATAATAAAACAACCTAGGTCTGGAAAGTAACATCGATACCTTTTCTGGACATGTGAATAACCTAGGAAAATACATTTAAGAGAATATAGGTTTGATTTAGTGTGACCTATACAAGTGTCACAGATAAAATATGTGCACCAAAACATCTTAAAGGAGATTAGAAATAAGGGACAATCAAGACACAATACTTGAAGAGGAGCTTTTCCTTTGAGAATCGAAGATGTTAAATGATTTATAAGATAGTATGCTATGAAGACAGCTTTAATCCAAAACATTTCAAAGACTTCATTTGAAACAAAAAAGCGCTAGCCACTTCTAACAAATGACGATTCTTCCTTTCAACAATCCCATTTTGTTGTAGGGTATCTGTACAATGACTAATGAGTAATACCTTTTGCATTTAGGAATTATACAAACTCTGTAGAAATATACGTTCCTTCTTTATCACTCTATAAAATTTTGATAGACTTATCGAATTGATTCTCTGTTTCTACATAAAAGGTAGTAAAGGCAGAGAATAATTCGGAGTAGCGCTATAACAAATACAACCAACAAACTCATGAATAATCATTAACAAATGTCACAATGTATTATAACCAAATTTTAAAATAATAGGACAAAGCCCATACATTAGAATGAATCACAGCAAAAGGGAACTTTTTTTTTTTAATTAATCAAGGTTGATAAGACACTCTGTGCAGTTTGGCAAACTTTTATGATTCGTAATCAAAACTAAAAGATGATAAATAAAGACACATAACTCATAAAGTTAACATAGATTGATGACCAAAATGACAATTAGACTCATAAGCTAATAACAATTCTCTTGAATATGTCATTATCCAGACTATATCATTTGTATGTCATCAAGGATATAAAGACTTCCTTCGATCCTTCTCCTACAATAGTCTATTTTGTCAATAGATCCTAAAATACATAATAAGTAGGAAAGAAAAAGATACTACAATTCAAATTTCTTGTAATTTGACTAGCTGAAGGTAAGTTAAAAAGAGAATAATGGACATTTAGCATAAAATGTAAAGGTAATGTGGATATAAGTTGAGCCTTGCCACTTCCCACAATATCTATAGAATTTTCATCAGTAACTAAAATAGACTATTTCCTTGTCATAGGAATATATCAATAAAGAGTACCGATAGTACTCATCATGTAATTCAAAACTTCTGAATCAATCACCCAAGTCCTAAAGGGGTAGCCAGGCATGTGGTAGATTTACCTTGTATAAAAGTTGCTATCGGATTGGAGATCAAAATTTGATTATGAAGCATCTGAGTAATTCTATCATACTCATTTTGGGATAACTGAACTCCTTTTTTCTCTTACTATTAAGGTTAAAGTGCAACATCAGTCATATATGTTATTGGTGAGCCAAAACTACCTTAAAAATACGGACAAATATTTCATAAATGTCCTTATTGTCCATAATTATAGCAAGACC